CATTCTTTATCTTCAAGAAATCAAGACTGACTAAATATTTGCTAACGCCCTTGTGGCTCATTTCTGTTTTAGTTCTGACGTACAGAGTTATAATGGCTCATTCGTATAAAGAGTCTTCCATTGGTACCAAGGTTTCACTTTCTCTGAAAATTTATTCACAAGAGAATAGAACACTGAAATAAAGAAAACACTTTCATTAAAGGTAGTAAGTGAAGCGGGCTGATTGAAAACGTGAATACGATCTATGTACGCAGTTTCATTATATTTATGGGAGAATGACGGCAATTAAATTTAATTTAAAGGGTAGCGCTAATTCTCTGGATCAAAAAACTTGTTATCAGACGTCAGGGTAGCTCCATAGAGGGTATGTACCGTTTTACAAGTATAATAGGACCTAAGAGGCACAAAAACAATAATTCCGAGCAAGTGTATTATATGAGGGAGGGTCAGAAGCCAGGACTCGAACCTTGCCAACATCACTGAGTGAATAAACAAACACACCCACCACCTTTATCTCTTTCATCCTCTCACCCGACCACTCACACAATCTGCTACACATCCTATTTCCTTCTTTTCAATCGTCTCCTCTCCCCTCTACTTCCCTTCTCCCCTTGTCACCCGAGTCTGGTCTTCTCATTTGAAAATGGGAAATGGAAACAAGGGCATTGAATTAAATTGTAGAATACCTAACAGGAAAGTATCGGGAGGCACGGAAGAAATAATTCCTACCATAAAAAGAAAGCAAGCTGTTTATCCACAGATTTAAAGATATACCGAACAGAGAAATGAGCGGAAGACGCAGAAAAATATACAAGGATGAGGAAAGAAGTAACACAGCATTAGGACAGCGGCACAAGCACAAATCAGAAAGGGTCGACTTGTTGCAACTGCTCGGAGAGTCGTACTCTCACTTTTTGTGAAGAGGTATATGGAAAACTACAGCAAAAATAATGTTCGAATGATAATGATAACATAAATCTAGATCTTTATTATTATTTATAAGTTAAGAAGTGAGAAATGATCAGAGACATGCGCTAAGAAAATAAGAAAATGTAAAATGATGGAGCATAATATATTTTAGTCAAGAAGTCACTGTGACGACATAGAACTAGTCGATGTATTGGTAGATGCTGAATTGGTCCTAAAGGTTCTGTGAAGAGTGGTTAGTTGATTACCTAATGGGGTTTAAAGCCTGTGAACAACGCTAGGGTTCTTAAAGCTGCACGTAACCTTTTCACCACCAGAAAAAAATATTTTAATCCCTAAAATAGGAATTAAAGTAAATTTTCAGCAAATGTACCTTGAGAGAAATTCACCTACCGGTGTACTTATCCTTTGAAGGATGGGTTCCTGGAACTTTAGTGGTACAAGTGATCTCTGCAAGCAAGAATATCATTTCAATCAGGGAAAAGTGCTAAACCCATAGAACATGAGAAATGCGAGGCACTCAGGTTCGGTCCAAGGAGAGAGAGGAAAAGTTCAGATCCTTGGATCAAAAGCCTCTCATCGGCATCAAGGCACCTTCTTTGAGGGGTTGGACCACTCTGGTAACCAAGTGTGGCCAGGAAGTCACAGAGTTACATAATCAACAAAGTCCTTACAGAAAGAAATTTTCATGCGAAAATGCTGACTCATGGCCTTAAATAAAAGAGTGACAAATAAACTACGTTAACTAGAGTGATGGTGATATTAGTAACTACAAGTACAGAGTCAATATAATATTCGAAATATGATCAATAGAAGTATCCATAAAGGATAAAGCCTTTTACATTTACATAAGTATATTAGAGAATAAGGTGAGGAATGAGCCAACAAGTAAAAGAACAATGAAAGGAAAAGAAACAAAGGCCTCTTCGTTACCAGGAGAATTCCATAGCGAGTTACTAGGAGCACTCATGGTCATCCAAACATGAATATGCATATCTTAATGTGAACTTTTCCCCTAACACACATCCGACTTAGGATGGAAAAGGAATAACTTTAAAGCAACAAGGGTGGCAATTCAGAAGTGCATTAATTACATTAATTGACCAGAATAGATTGGAGGGCATCATCACAACCAGAAGAAGCTGGTAAACAAAGAGCACACTTTATATGCTTTAAATGTCTCCTTGGGCTCTGAGAAAGAGATGTGAGACATTGCAGGAATGAAAAAAAAAAAAACAGTAATGTGGGGACAGGAACCGTCCAGTAAAGTGAAAAGTAATAAATAATATTCAAATATTCAAACAGTAAAATAGGTAGGTAGCAGTGAACTACAGAAGGCAAAGGTTAGGCGGAGAATCATTATCAACAGCCGGCACTGGTAAAGAGAGAATAAATCTTGTATCATTAACCTACTGGAGTTCATTGACAGGAAACAGAGGTTAGGCAATAAAGAGAGGGATAAATCGGAAATGTAATACGCTAGATCAAGGAATAACCAAGATTGGAAATATAATGAACGACCTTAACGAATTAGAATCTCATAAGATTCCGTAATTCGACGATTCTGTCCCTAATACGATATCCCTGTTTACACAAGGTAAAGGTATCGATGATCATAAATTCGATAAAAAAGGACAGGGGAATGGTGCACGAAAAGTTTTACAATTGCAGAAATTTCAGACATATGGCTGTTGGACTAGTTCGGATACAGAATACGAGGGATGAGGGAGACAGAGCCCAAAATCCAGCATAACATTAAGAATATCACGAGAGGTGCACATTAGCTGAATGAGAGAGGAATATTTTCTTGTCAAACTGGCATCCCGGTATTACCCTACATACGAAATAGATCTCTCTTGGGGTACCTATCACCATTAAGTTCTCAAACATGTCTACAAACTACATTAAGTCCAAATATTTGCTTAGAGATTAGTCATGGCGCTAAACGAAAAAACTGAAGAGGTGAGACTAACTGAAACTATCTAACAATACTGAAAGAAAAGGGAACCATGGAAGTCATTATTATGACGAACAAGATACGAACGTCCAGATAAGATAAAGGGAAGGAAACTGTTGGAAAGGCTGGGACCAGAGACAGAGGGGGCAAAATGGAAATTAAAGATGCAAATGGATGTCAGCAATGGATTCTTCAATCTAAATAAAAATAGGAAAGGGTATGGTCTGGAGTCAGATTTTATGCATATTAATTTAGGAGTAGGTATGATATAGCCGATGAAGCCAAGAATAGTGTGTAGCCGTTCAGGGCACGGAAACGAGATTGAAACGCAATCACACTTAGGTGAGTAGTTAAAGTATTTTCCTCACAATTGAATCGTCCTAGGATAGATTCATAAGGAAATGTCTATTTTTTTCCCAATAAAAGGCAATAAACAGGGAAGGTTATATCTAAACTCATGTAACAAGAAATCGGAAAGATAATTAAATGCCAAAAATATAAACAAATTAACACACACACACACACACACACACACACACACACACACACACAAAACAGTTTAACATAATCTCAATGGAAATTAAACACTCAAAATAGAATAAACCTGGAAAAGAGGAATTGGTTACAATACCTCTTTTCCAGTGATCCAGGACAAGAGGTATAATATAATAATATACTTTCCTAGCTGACATGAATGACATACTGCTATATTGAAAGCCGCTATGCAGAGCATTTCTGGCAAATTAGGCCAGTTTTGTCCCGGGATGCGACCCACACTAGTCGACTAAGACCCAGGTACCCATTATTATTGATGGGTGAACATGGAGAACCAGTGTAAGGAAACACGCCCAATGTTTCCACCCCTTTGCCGGGAATCGAACCCGGATCCTCACCATGTGAAGCGAGAGCTCTTGCCACCAGGCCACAGGACACTGTATTGGAACCAAACCCAATACCTGGATTCAAAAGTTGATACACACAAGGTTGCACATATGTAAATTTCTTGTACAATAATGTGGTAAAGTATTAGATTATAATACACAAATAACAAACACATATGTGAATGGTCAGACTTGACCATTCATAAATTTCACTTGTGAATGCTCCAAGTCGAGCCGATACGTCGTCGTAAGCTTTTCTCTCTCCTGTGTGCGGGTTATTTGTGTAATGTTCCACTCATGATATTGTGCCTTTTTCTTCTTTCCTAGATTATGAAATTTAATTAAAGTTTTAGCCATTTTAGTTGTAACTGAGTATCCAGTTAACTAATACTTAAACATTAGGATGGGGAAGACAGGATGAGGAGAGAGAGGGGAAGGATGAGAAGAAAAGAGGGGGGCAGGATAAGAAGAGAGAGGGGCAGGATGAGAGAGAGGAGGAGGAAGATTAGGAGGAAGGGAGATTAGGAGAGAGGGAGGAGATAGAGAGAGAGAGAGAGAGAGAGAGAGAGAGAGAGAGAGAGAGAGAGAGAGAGAGAGAGAGAGAGAGAGAGAGAGAGAGAGAGAGAGAGAAGAAAGAGACAGGGGGAGAAGAGAAATAATGAGAAGGTGGAGTAGGAGAACGGTGACGGCAAGAATACGAAACACGTCTTTCTCACTTTTTCGCTGCTTTTCCCTTTTTTTGTCTTTCCTTTCCTCTCTCCATTCCCCTATCTCTTCATTATCACGCGACACCTTACTGGTAAACACTTTGACATAAAAAAATCTGGACGGTAAGGCTGACCCTCTCAGAAAATTACTCTTGACCTGTGCCTTATAAAACAAGTTCTGTATCCCTGTATTGTGGAGGCGGTTTGTGGACTAGTGCACCTTGAACTGGCCAACTGGGGCATGTTCTGGGGGCATCGAGGAAAAAAAATCATTCACAGGTTAACAGAAACGTTTCCCGGTAACCCAGTGTATGCATGGATTACTTGGCGGTAATAAATATGTATTTACTCAGGGAATTATGCCTAAGTAATGAAGATATTACTAGTAAAAAACAGGAGATATGGAGAGTTATGCGGTTGAAATTGAAGCAGCTTTGCAAGCAAAGTGGTCGATAAGCAGCAGCAGCCGACGCTGTGGTAGCTATATAAGCTGTGTTCATCCAAGGAGCAGCATCAGTCACCACATCTCAGCTCTCCCACTCCCAGTCTACAATATCTGCAAAATGAAGACTGTGAGTAACTCATGTGCCATAAGCCTCTATGCAAAGTAAACACTGTACATGTGTTGACTCCGGTTAAATTGCGTTAAATTGCAACTGTCTTTTTTTTTTTTTCAAAAAAAAAAAAAATATGTATCTATTTCTTGGTCAGTTCCAGTCCCCGAACTATCGATATAATGTTTATTTGCCCAGTTCTGCAATTAGCAGTTTTATGCACTACAAGATTCCCCGAGGAGTATATCGGTATTTTTTACGCACTAGCTGAGCATTAATTTTTACAAAATGATTTCCATGTATGTTAAATTTATGATCAAATTAAGCTTAAACCACCTAACAGTAAGGAATGAATATTATTATTATTATAATAAAAAAGAAGCGCTAAACCACAAGGGCTGAAGGAATGAATAACCTTCCCTAGAGTAACTGATATTATAAACTCTACCCCTGCTCCATAGTAATTATTACAACACCCAACATCCTCTGCTGCCATTACATTTTCTAGCAAAACTAACTATTCCTTATGTCTCTCTTGTCACAGTTTGTGTTGTTCACTCTTCTGGCTTTGGTGGCGGCTGACAGAGCACCAAGCGCTTCCTATGGAGCACCGGCACCATCTCTTGGCCATGGGAAACCTCCAGTAGCTATCATCCGCGACGACCGAGTGCACCCTGACGCAGAGGGACTCTATTCCTTTACCGTGGAGACCGAGGACGGAATTCGTAGGCAGGAGTCTGGTGGTGTCGGTGGCAGTCAGCAGGGCTCTGTCAGGTAAGGCAGTTTACGGGAGATATGCCTTAGCGTTCATCGAATAGCATTTCTTTGTAGATACATGTATTAATTAAGCATTTAACAAAAAAAATTAGGATGTAACGTTACGTTGTTTTATACGACTAATTCTGCCTGTTAGCACTAACACATACCATGGCAATATTTTCCTCATCGCAGTTCTCATTAAATTATTAAAAAAACAGTACTTTGTTTCAAATCCACACCCAGATCTCTCAAACGTCTTTGTACCAAAACTTATTCTTTGCTTCAACAATTTTCTCCTTCTCCAGTCACCATTATTAGCTCAACTATTGTCATTAATAAGTTACCCTTTACCAAAATTAACTCACTCATAACTATTCCCAGCTCACCCATCACCTTTAACAACTCACCCAACACCATTACCAGCTGATACAGCACCATTACTAGTTCACTCATCAGCATTACTAGCTAATCCATCTCTATAACTACCTCACCCATTACCTTTATCAGCTCACTCATCGCCATTACTAAATCATCACCAATCCTAGCTTACCCTTCCTTATTACTAGCTAACTTATCACTACTAGTTCACGCATTGCCATTACTATATCCTGTATCACCAGTACTGCTTCACGCATCACTATTACTGCCTAACCCATCATCACCACTGTATCACCAATAATTATTATCTTCGTCACCTACACCTTTTGCTGCCTAATCCTTTACTGCCTCACTTAATATTACTATCTCACTCACCACTATTACAATCACACCCACCCTTACTGCCTCACCCACTACCAATTATTGCCCCACCCCACCACTATTACTGTTTCATCCATCCATGTTACTGCCTTATCCGCAACCATTACTGCCTCATCTGCCTCCAGTACTACCCACATAATACCGTTAGTGCTTTACCCATCACCATTGGAGCTTATTTCATTACATTCCCATTTTTATTCCACAGTTTCACTCATCCCGACGGACAAGTGTTCGAACTGAAATTCGTCGCTGACGAAGGCGGCTACCAGCCCCAGTCCTCCGCCCTGCCAGTGGCTCCTGTATTCCCCCACCCAATCCCTCAGTTCGTGCTGGACCAGATCGCCTTCGCTGCTAAGGAAGACGCTGAACGCGCCCGAGGTGAAGTCAGGAGTCCATCCCCAAGCTACGGTGCTCCCTCCAAGTAATTACTTGACAGACCAACCATTTCTACAGTCATAGATACGGTTCGTTGGCGATTCCGGCGGACGTAGTGAAACATAATCGAGTCTTTACACTCGTATGACTCCATCTTCATCCCACCAGCTAGGCTTTCAACTCGATAATTGTGATGTAGCTTTTGTGTTCCTAGTGTATTTATTTGGTATTTAATTTATTATGTAATGATCTGTATATACATTTATGCATATACAGTATTAGATACTATATTTATATCTTGTCATACATGCTATAGTGCCATACATGCTACAGAGTCCTACATACTATAGTGTTATTTATATGTGTTATAAAGTCATACATGCTATAGTCATACATGTTTAAGTGTCATACATGCAATAATGGATGGCGCTGCAATATTATGCCAGAATAACTTCACTTTAAATAAATAAAGTGATAAGTTTATTTTATCACTAAGCAATAAGAATCTGCAATTTTCCTTATCATGAAAGTGGTATATGAAACATTTAAACAATAATTTTTTTCTTTTATTTCTCATGAAAGAAGTGAACAACCTAAATAATTCATTTTAATATAAAAGATCTAACTTTTACATAAGTATCGCATCAGCACAATCTCCAGAAGACAGGTTATATCCATCTTGTCTTTTCCATGTCCTGTTTTTGCTATTTTTACTGTTGCTCGCTTGTTAGATACTCTGTATCTCTTACATTCTTCATGGCACCATTATAATCAACATTTGTTGTCATTATTGACAACAAATATTGATTATAATGACTGCTATTATCCAACAATGTGTTAGTCTTTCATGGTTCTCAGCAGCACATATTCAAGGAGCTTATTGATGATGGTCCGGTCCATAGTGCCCGCTTTCGAAGATAGCAAATACTTCCAGATCAGGCTCTTGAATACGATCTGTTGTAGGTCGATCTTCACAAAAATTGTGCTAAGCAACTGTTTAATACGGAAGCATTTCTTTAAGAGAACTGAGATGACTTTAAAAATTTTCTTCGTTTTCTGATTTTGAGACGTGTCAAAGAACATCACTCATCTCCTTGTATTGCAACAAGAAACGCTCATTACAATGCTCATATATTTCATTCATAGGTCACAGTGGCGTCCAAATTGGGGAACCGAACGCTTTTGCTGCATTCTTAAAATTGAAAGTAGTATCATCTGACCTCTCTTGTTACAGATTTGCCACTGTTTATATATTCCTGAAAGTCTAATTCTACCATCATAAGTCCTCTGCATTCAAGGAAGCTCCTTTCTGGTATATACAATAATTTAAATGGTTCACTGGCTACATTGGTCATTGCTTTCCACCTTAAGGTTTGATCAAAGGTGAGGAATAATGGCCTCTGAGCACAAAAATCGTATACACAGGTTACTTCCTTATCAATCATATTACCTATTCAGCACGATATATATATATATATATATATATATATTATATATTATATATATATATATATATATATATATATATATATATATATATATATATATATTATACATAATATATCATAGATATATATATTATTATATATATATATATATATATATATATATTTTATATAATATATATGATATTATTATTGTGGTGACAATAATGCAGGAGGAGGTGCATTTCCTTCTTAAATCGCTTGACCAAGAAAAGGCTGTGGGCCCAGACAAGTTGAGCCCAAGATTGCTGAGAAGATATGCAGACCAGCTATCAGCACCTCTAACTCGCATCTTTCAGCACTGCCTAGTACAGTGTAAATGGCCTTCTCTGTGGAAAGAGGCAAATGTAGTCCCTGTTCACAAAAAGAAGCGCAGAGCAGAACTCAGCAACTACAGATCAGTGTCACTGCTGTCAATCACTAGCAAGATCCTTGAGACAATAGTCTCAAGACAAATGGCAGAGTTTTTTGACTACCACTCGCTACTTTGTGACCGTCAATATGGCTTCTGGAAAGGTTACTCTGCTGCTAACCCGTTGTTAAACCTCTCCACTAAGTGGCACCAGTCACTGGACGAATCAGAAGTCAGCTGTGTGGTAGCACTGGACATTGCTGGTGCTTTTGACCGGGTGTGGCACCAGGGCCTCTTAGCAAAACTGCAAGCTCTGAGAACTGCAGGCTCTACGTTATGTCTCCTCAGTGATTACCTTCATGGTAGATCTCCAAGGGTAGTTCTCAAAGGAACGGAATCAGCAAGACATCCCATTGGGGCAAGTGTTCCAAAGGAAGCGTGCTGGGAGCATTGTTATGGAATGTCTACTTCAGTGACCTTCTTCATCTCATCCCAGAATCCCATGCATATGCAGACGACTATACACTGACATTCACTTATCCAAGAGAAGAAATGCCAGCTGCTCTAAGCTACATCAATCACCAGCTAAGAGCTAGCTATATCAGTTTGGGGAAATAGATGGCAAGTAACATTTGCATCAGAGAAAACACAAATGATGATGGTCTCTAGGCGCCATGATGGCAATGCCGGTGCAGTAAGGATGAATGGGAGGGTGTTGGCATCTGGGGAAGAAGTTGATATCCTTGGGGTGAAATTTGACTCCAAACTGACCATCAAGAACCACGTTGTAAATCTTGCAAACAAGGCAGCCAGGAAGCTTACAGCACTTCGCCGTATCTCGCATCTGCTTGACAGCAGGGGTTGTAAGATTTTGTACAAGGCACAAGTACGCTCACATCTTGAGTATGCCCCACTTTCTTGGTTTGCCTTCCCCCCATCTCAGCTGCGACTGCTTGACAGAGTAGAGAACAGAGCAAGACGTCTCATATCTCGCCTGGACCAATCCTAGATAGATATGTCATTTCAGCAGAGCCTTCAAAACAAGAGGGATGTGGATGGCCTTACTGTTATGTACAAGGCCAACATTGTCAAAGTACCACACTTGGATCTACTTCGAGGACAGCGTGAAGCAAGCTTCTATACCACAAGACGGGCAGAAAGCAGCAACTTCACTCTGGCTGCACCCTTCTCCAGAACATCACTTCATCTGAGATCATTTATCCCCAGGATGACTCGAATATGGAACAGATTCGTTCAGCATTATGTTGTCAACGAGATGAAGTCAGTTGATCAAATAAAAATGCTGGCCCACAGATAGCTCCAACTTCATCCTGTTTCCTACTTGTATGTCTCAACAATAAAAATGGTTTCAAATGAGATGATGTATGCAACAGCTCATAGCTTGTCAATAAAGTTAGGAATCCTTAACCTGTAAATAGCTTGTCAATAAAGTTAGGAATCCTTAACCATGTCAAACCCTGTGTAAAAGAAGAAAGACAAGATAGATAGATAGATAGATAGATATATAGATAGATAGATAGATAGATAGATAGATAGATAGATAGATAGAGAGAGAGAGAAGAGAGAGGAGGAGAGAGGAGAGAGAGAGGAGAGAGAGAGAGAGAGAGAGAGAGAGAGTGTATTATAAAAGTGGGAACTTATAGAGTGGCAAACAAAATCCCTTCTAGAAGAATGGTGAGAATTCTCTTTAATTAAGGGCGACTAACATTCTTCTCCTACCTTCACTTCAATTCTTTTTCCCTTATCTTTAATTCATTTTCCACCATATCCCCTTTGTCTCCTCTCCCTTCCCCCACCTCGTCCCTAAAATGGCTTCTTTCATATATATACATTCATCTATTCTGTGTTAGATATGATACACAAGGTTAAAAAAGATATATTGCAAATATAAACGCAGAAGTGCATTGGAAGTAAAATCCCTCCCCCCGAGAAAAAAATAAATAAAGGATACATTACAAGTATATAGACTTGTCAGCCTCGTTAGCTGCACTGAACTTCTAATTAAGCAGGTTTTTCCCTAAGTCAGGAACCTTGTTTTATTTTTACAGTTTCATGAAGACTTATAAACCGGACAGTCCAGATAGATCACTCATTACGTCTGTGTGGTCAGCAACCTATAACTTTACCAAAATGATAGTCAATCTTTTAATCACAATTACTGGAAAGTACTGTGTTTACACATAAAAGTATATATAGCTTTAACCGAGAAACGTGATGATGCAACGTAATGTTAGATTTGACGTGACAGCTTTGTTTAACAATAAACAAATATGACTTGCCCTTTTATCATGATTCGGTTAATGAATTTCTTAAAATGTGCAGTTGTTAGCAAATACTTTTCTAACGAGAGTGTTTATGTCCGAAAGTATGGCATTACTATGGAAAATCCCCACAACTCGGTTTCAATTGATATATAAATATGAAAATTTTTTAAACTAATTTTATGAAGAAAATTTTTACCTGGAAATGTCAGAGGGTGCAGATATGTTTGCGATATACTGTGCTATATACCAGCTGAGAAAAAATTTGATTACATCTTACCTAGGATAAACCGATTAAGCTTATTGTTCAATACAAAACTGTCTACACACTTCATTTCAGAAAACTGAGGAAATTATTATTTTTTTTTTTTTTTGAAGGTTAGAAGTGCGCTCTCATACATTAATTTTGTTTCTCAGATCACAAGAAGCGAGTTAAGAATGGTATTTTTATTCACTCCGTTTATGAAAACTGATAATATGTAGTTCTAAATTCCTCGTAAATGAGTTAAATAAACTCCTTAATGAGTATAATAAGGGCGTGCAATACCACAAGTAAATAAATAAGTCATATGTAATTTAATAATGGTATGCAGTACTACAAGAAGATAAGACAGATGTCAAACATTTGGGATCCTTATTCCGGAACGTTTTACTTATGAAGTAGGCTTAATCAGTCGTGTACAGAAGTTGGCAAATATGTAGACAACAGAAGCGTTAGAAAGGCAAAGCCAGTTAAATCAGTCCATCATCCTTGAAGTAGGAGTTTGAGGTGGGCATCCTTGGAGAAGTGTTCTTCATAGCTTTGAACAATGTGAAGCTGAATCATGAGAACAGAGCCTTCTAGAATGCCAAAGGTGAGGCAAGAAAAAGTAGGCCCATTATTGTCTAAATTGAGGCATCCACAACATTTCGTTAAGACAGCTATGTCAACTACAAAAAACGCTCAGGAGAGAAATAAAGCAATGCTATCATCCATTAAAAACACGCTAGGTTTATTGTAGAATTAAAACCCTACTGAATTTCCTGGTGTGCTAAACCTTTTAGATGTGAATGTCACTGTCAAGATAATTCCACTGTGAAACATTTATTAGGATTTCTCTTACATGTTATATTGTGCAGTTTACTTTTCCTGCCAGGGATTTTACCTGAGTCCACCAGGTAATGAGATTGAACAGAGGTTTGCACAATATAAATACGCCATGTGGCCGGGCTGAGTTTCAATTATTTTTTTTCTTATTAAAGTTTATATGGACACCTCTGGATTAGGCAAATGCAAAGGCCATTATGCCTAATGTGTTTCCCAATGAAAGAAACCTCGAGTCAATGCTGATCAAGCATGAACGTAGTTCCTTAATGAATCATGACCAAACCATTTAGATTCATTTATTATTGTGAATATAACCATAATTTAGCATCGATTGTTTGGCATTAAGCTATATTAATTGTATCATGTATCAGTTAAAAATAACACCCACATCAGTTTGTTTTTCTTTTATAGTACATTAAATAGCCCTCACCATAAATTAATTCCCTCAAATATGGAAGTAACTCTCAGCAAAAGGTTTCCATTTTCTGCGATTGCATTCGATATCCTTGTTCTGCTCTTTGCATGCAATAGTAACTCTTATTTCCCCCTTCCTGCTTTTGTAGGCCTGTGCCTCTCATGCAACCTTTTAAAAACGTTGTCTGGGGATATTTCAGAGATGCGTACTAATAGCTATACCTTTTAGGATATCAGTCAATATATAGAATTTATTCTGGTTTAAATTTACATTTATCCATTAATGCCCTAATCGAGTTTTTCCTGGTTTTTCCTATCTCTCGTATTATCGGCCCCCACATCGGTGCCTGCCATGACGGACATACTTGTCAGGGTTGCTGAGGACACACCTTTAATCGGTCACATAAATGACTGCAATTACATTCAATATACTTTATTTGAAACACAAACTGTTGAACAGTTATAAATTATGACAAACTATTTACACTCATTCTACATGAAATAATACCAATGAGCACATAACAGCCCATTTACCTTCCTTGCTCATGACAGTGTGTCATGGTCAGTGTGTCAACGGCAGTAAAAATCAAGTGGTTCCTCACAGATGATGTAATTCATCTGTGGTAGATCCAACTGTACATTAAAACTTATTATTTTGAGGGAGCGCCATAGCTTGGGGATGGACTCCTGACTTCACCACGTGCTCGGGCAGCGTCTTCCTGAGCGGCAAATGCGATCTGGTCCAGTACGAACTGAGGGATTGGATGTGGGAACTCAGGAGCCACTGGCAAGAAGGAGGATTGGGGCTGGTAGCCGGCGGCGTCGGCGACGAACTTAAGGTCAAATACTTGTCCATCAGGGAAAGTGAAGCTGAAGAAGATAAGGAAATATGTTGGTGCTTACGTAATACTGAGTGAGATCATGTAGCGTGTACATTTTTTTTTTTTTTAATTTTGATATTTTTTTCGTTGACACGACTCATAATTTAGGAGTAAATTACGTACAAAGATTTACGAAGATTCAAAGACACTGACTAAGAGAAGAAGAAATAGAAAGAGAGGAAAGAGAGAGAGAGAGAGGAGAGAGAGAGAGAGGAGAGAGAGAGGAGAGAGAGAGAGAGAGAGGAGAGAGAGAGAGAGAGAGAGAGAGAGAGAGAGAGAGAGAGAAGAGAAGAGAGAGAGAGAGAGAGAGAGAGAGAGAGAGAGAGAGAGAGAGAGAGAGAGAGACTGATAACAATGGAGATCTTTTAGACAGTAATTATTAGTGAATGAAAAGGACTTCCACACATTGATCATGGTCGTCAGGTACAATGAAGCACTCACCTGACAGAGCCCTGTTGACTACCACCGGGGCCGCCAGACTCCTGCCTCACAATACCGTCCTCGGTCTCCAAGTTTAAGGAGTAAAGGCCCTGGGCATCAGGGTGTACTCGATCGTCGCGGATGATAGCGATCTGGGGTCCCTGGTGTCCATGACTAGGTGCTGGGCCTGGTGCTCCATAGGTTGTGAGTGGTCGCTTATCAGCCACCGCCACAGCAAGCAGAGCCAACATTACAATCTGTACCACAGGAGAAGCTAGGGTCACAAATGACATTTGGATGGAAATAATTTTCCAGTGATCCGTTTACCGGTTCGCAATGGTTCCTTACCAACATTCGTGATCATTTCAATATATTAAATATTATTGAAGACAACGAAATTTAGTTTAGAATAATGGTTTTCTGACTCTTGTATAACCCAAGGATTTCGTATGGTACTTTGGTAGAAATGCAAAAGTCAATGTGAAATTAAATATATTTAGAGAAGGGGTTGGTTAATGGTGTCGAAAGCCTATTGACTACAATAGAGTTATTAAACCTGCACGTAACCATTTCACCACGAAATGAGAATAATTTTCTTTAGTTCCTGGTTTAAGAAACAAACTCTCAGCATACAGTACACATATCGTGTGCACCGTATGCATATATCATGTGTACATATCATGTATGGAAAAATATCTTCTCAAATAGGGCAGCGTTGCTATATTAAATAGTTGGAGCACTGCAAAAAAATGTACACTGTGGGACTGATAAACAAATAAATAAGACGACTTGGTTAAGCATCTGAGCAGTGTCACATTGCTAGAAATTACGCTCCGTAGTTTGTTAACCAATTTAACAAATCATTTTTTTAAATTATTACGCAGTTTCAGTTGAAAACAATTGAGTTTTTTGACTTTAATAAATGATTCAGAACTATTGATGTTTAAAAATTATGCAGTTTGACTGTGTTAAACAATTAAGGTATATGACTTTGTTAAGCAATTAAGCAGTTTTGACTGTGCCAAACGACTGAGCATTTTGGCTCTGTTAAACAGTTGAAGAAAGTGACTTTCTTAAACAAGAAGCATGCCAGCTCCTGTTAATAGGGTATCTTCAGATATATTCATCATGACTCGCCTATGAATGGTAGTACTCACAGACTTCATGTTGCAGGTGTTGCGAGTGTTGCAAGGTATGAGTCGGAGAGTTCTAGTCAAGACACTGATGCCTCACTCCTCAAACATCCAGTTTATATAGCCGTCAAGTCGCTCGTGTTGCCCACCGCCGTTTTTGTTGTTGCCGACCTTTTTACCTGCCTCTTCATTCAAGATATTTCATTACAAATTATATTTCTTGTATGTTTATTAGTTATTATTGCTAATAACCAATAAGTATCGTTCTTGAAACATTAAATAATTTTATAAGGTACAGTAAAGGAGTTTCAGGATTGATACTATCAGTTCCAGGAACCATGGTCTAGAAATGTTAGATAATTACTTCGCTGCCAAACAGAATAATACTACTTGATACATACAAACAAAATAATTGTTTAAAGTGTATTTCGGGACGCATAGCTAAGTTTCTCTTAAGGGTATCAGGTCATTGCAGAACGGTTACTTTTAAGGACAATGTTTCACTCTAACTTGATAATGCTTTAAACAGCGTGAAACTTTGTATCAGTTAAAGTTTGCTCTATAGCTTGTTATTTATTCAGTGTATCAGCATGCATAACTTTTAATTTCTTAGTTATCGTGTAATTATTTAAATTATATCAGAAAAGTCATATCTTATATTAAGCTTAGAAAAAATATATTGGTTCATCATAACTTTTCAATATTTTTCTTTCTGACAACGTCATATAGTTCATAACTGCAAGTACGGTGTATGGTATTGAATTACACAATATTTATTATTAATAATGTAAACAGTATTTAAGAGATGATATTCCTTATTTCAATTCCCTCGAAAATGTGGTCGACCTTATTTTTTCACATAACTGGGTAACCATCATTTATTTTAGTACACCACGAAGTGTGTATTTGTGTCTTTTTTCAACTAGTAGTGTTTGCAAGAGCCCATTCTCATCTCCTGAGCCCACCTTTAACTCAGCCTCTTGGCTTTGTTGTACCTACCCATAAAAACGTGTATCTAGTCTGCCTCCTTCAGTTCATCTTGTAACTGGTTTCATATTCCTTAAGATCTGAGAATAAAGAAACACATGCAGTATCTCGAATGTCCCAAGTTCCGTTTCTTGTGGCACATCTCCTTTCTCATTCGTCTTTCCATATAGTTTTAAATTCGCTTTTATTGGTTTAGTGTTTTTGTATCCTATGTATTTTATATGTTCTCTCTGCCTTCTGTTGAATAACTTTTTCGTGGTTGAGAAGAGGTAGGAACAATCTTCAATGCTGTAATTTTTTCTTCAAACATAGGGTCAAACAATCCTCTCCTGATATTATCTCCGTTATTCTCTTGCTTATATTCTTTGTAAATGCCTCTGAAACTATTCCTATAAACAATACCAACCTGTAAATAAGTGTATCTTGCCCATTGTCTTGTTTAGGGAACCATTATTGTAGTTTTCCACCAATTCATTAGTTTCCGCAATTCTTTTGGTATTTTTCTTCATTATATGGTAGCGCAGTTTTTTTTCTCTTATCACTCTTCATGGAAAGATGCTGCCTACTGCTATAGGTTTTATTGTAACTTCCCTAATATCATCTATACTTTCTCATTTGATGTGGTGATGTCCCTTACTGTTTATCCGCCCATTCACCATGGTCTCTGGTATTGCTCAAGATTGATCATAGAACACCTCCTAGAATTTTGTATTTTATTTGTTGGAAATTGTTTGCCTTCTTTCCAATGTTTATTTGTGAAGTTGCAGTTTTGTTCTGGCCATCAGTGCTATGTCATTCTCAAATTTCCTTTAAGCTTTGGGGATTAGCGTGGACGGTTACAAAGCATGGCTTGCTTCTGAAATGTTTTAAAAATTGAGGTTGGAGAGTTGAAGGAGGAGGTCTTGCTTCTCCAGGAGGAGATTAGGAGGCTGAAAGTCCACCTCAATGGGTCTGGGAGAGAGTGTGAGGTGGCTGGAGTTGTGGGGAATGAGGCTTCTAGCAGTGAGATGCAGTCTGTCTCCCTCTGTGAGGAGGCTGTAGGTGGGGAGGTAGCAACGGCTACCAGCAGTGAGGTGCAGTCCAGCACCTGCTACAAGTGGCGAGTGGTAACCAGTAATGGGAGGAGAATCAGAATAAGGAAAGTTAAGAGTGAAGATCTGAAGGTAGGAAATCGCTTCTCTGTTCTTCAGGATGAATGTACTTCAGTGGCCAGTGAAGGTAAGGGTACTACTGCCCCTGCTAACAGAGGTAAGCGCATTCTTGTGGTTGGTGACTCTCAGGTAAGATATATTGACCGTTCTTTTTGTAATAGGAATAAGAAGATGAGAGATAGAGTGTGCTTCCCTGGAGCTGGTGTTGGGGACATAGTTAACAGGCTGGATAATATCATGTCAGGTAATGGGAACAAGCCCATTATCTGTCTCAGTGCTGGTGGAAATGATATTGGGAAGGGTAGGAGAGAAGAGCTGCTAGATAAGTACAAGTCAGCTATAGATTTCATTAAATCTAAGGGAGGGGTCCCAATCATATGTAGCATCTTGCCAAGAATGGGAGTAGGAAATGAATGGTTGTCTAGGGCAATTGGTGTAAATTGCTGGCTAGACAGATACTGCAAGGAACTTGCAATACCATTCATTGACAAATGGAACAACTTTTATGGCAAACGTGATATGTATGCAAGGGATGGGGTACATCTCTCTGGGGCTGGGGTGGTAGCACTTGCAAACTCAATTGAGAAGGCCATTGGTGAAATGCCTATGATTTTAAACTGATTGAAGATAGAGGTATGGGTGTGTGTGGGAAACAAGCAGGTTGCAACACTAGGGTTGGAAAACAGTAAATGTATAAAAGGCATTCAGCAGGGAAGTTATAAATAAAGACAATAGATCAGGTCAGCAAACAAAGGGGGACAGCAGAGGGCAGCAAGGGATTTGCTCCCTTAAGATTTGATATACTAATGCAGGAGTGTAAGAAATAAGATAGATGAGCTAAGTTTAATTGCAAGTGCAGGAAACATAGAATTTATTGCTATAACAGAGACCTGGCTCAATCTGAAAGATAGAGAGATGCCCTCTGAATGTCACATACAAGGCTATAAATTATTCCACCCCTGACAGGGTTAACAGGAAGGGTGGTGGGGTAGCGATGTATGTCAGAGACAATTTAAATTGTTGTGTTAAACAAGATATAAAATTAGAAGCGTCGGCCACTGAATCTGTTTAGTTACAGCTTCTCGAGGGCCGAGAAAAACTAATTTTGGGTGTGATTTACAGGGCCCCAAATCTTTCTAGGGAGTGCAGTAAACTTCTATGGGACGAAATTCGTAAGGCATCTACATACGAAAATGTTGTACTAATGGGATATTTTAACTATAGACAGATTCACTGGAGCAATTTGACAGAAAATTTAGAGTCAGGTGACTTTCTTGATACGATCCAGGATTGTTTTTTAAAACAGTTTGTGACAGAGCCAACTAGTGGAAATAACCTCCTTGACTTGGTTCTTTCCAGTAGGGAAACACTAATTAATAATCTTGAGGTTAATGATGAGCTTGGGGAAAGTGATCACAAATCACTCAGTTTTAATATATCATGGAATTCCCCTAATAATGGCAATCAAGTCTCCGTCCCTGACTTTCGCTTGGCTGATTTCATAGGACTGAAAAATTACTTAGGTGGGCTGAACTGGAATGACCTGACTAAGGGTCAGGTAGGTGGTGATGGTTGCCGATATGACGCTTTTCAGGGCATAGTTCTAGCTGCTCAGTCAAATTATGTTCCAAATAGGGAAATCAGATCAAACAAAAATGATCCTAAATGGATGAACAATAGATTAAAATATCTGATTGGTCAAAAGAGAGGCATATATAGGCAAATCAAAAGAGGAGAGGGGCAATTAAGAAATCGATATATTCAGTTAAAGAGAGAAATAAAAAAGGGAATTAGAAAAGCAAAAAGAGATTACGAGGTTAAAGTTGCAAGAGAATCGAAGACTAACCCAAAAGGATTCTTTCAGGTATACAAAAGTAAGATCAGGGACAAGATAGGCCCACTCAAAAGTTCCTCGGGTCAGCTCACTGACAGTGATAAGGAAATGTGTAGAATTTGTTACACATACTTCCTCTCAGTTTTTACACAGGAGGATACCAGCGATATTCCAGAAATGATAAATTATGTAGAACAGGACGATAATAAACTGTGCACGATTAGGGTCACAAGTGACATGGTCTTTAGGCAAATAGATAAATTAAAACCTAACAAATCCCCAGGCCCTGATGAACTGTATGCAAGGGTTCTAAAGGAATGTAAAGAGGAGCTTAGCAATCCTTTGGCTAATCTTTTCAACATATCACTACAAACTGGCATGGTGCCAAATAAGTGGAAAAAGGCAAATGTGATACCCATTTTCAAAGCAGGTGACAGGTCCTTAGCTTCGAACTATAGACCAATAAGCCTAACCTCCATAGTGGGAAAATTTATGGAATCAATAATTGCCGAGGCAGTTCGTAGCCACCTTGAAAAGCATAAATTAATCAACGAATCTCAGCATGGTTTTACAAAGGGGCGTTCCTGCCTTACGAATTTACTAACTTTTTTTACTAAGGTATTTGAGGAGGTAGATCATGGTAATGAATATGATATTGTGTATATGGACTTCAGTAAGGCTTTTGACAGAGTCCCACCTAAGAGACTATTGAGGAAAATTAAGGCACATGGAATAGGAGGAGAAATTTTTTCCTGGGTAGAGGCATGGTTGACAAATAGGCAGCAGAGAGTTTGCATAAATGGGGAGAAATCAGAGTGGGGAAGCGTCACGAGCGGTGTTCCACAGGGGTCAGTGTTGGACCCCCTGCTGTTCACAATCTACATAAACGACATAGATAAGGGCATAAAGAGCGACATCGGCAAGTTTGCCGATGACACCAAAATAGGCCGTCGAATTCATTCTGACGAGGACATTAGAGCACTACAGGAAGATTTGAATAGACTGATGCAGTGGTCGGAGAAGTGGCAGATGCAGTTTGATATAGACAAATGCAAAGTTCTAAATGTCGGACAGGACAATAACCATGCCACATATAAACTAAATAATGTAGATCTTAATATTACGGATTGCGAAAAAGATTTAGGAGTTCTGGTTAGCAGTAATC